TTTGTGGAAGTTGTTGCATGGTGCTTCGACAAGGTCTGAAGTTATCCACTGGGTGTGCTGGCTCTGGGGCCTGGCAGGGAGTGTAGACCCAAGTCAGCAGCTACCTGTATTCTGCCCAGTGTCCATCCAGCTTGAAATACAAAGTGATCATAAAATGACTGCTACCTGTGCTTGGCTTGGAAGTTCCAAGGAAAGGCTAAGCCACTTATGGAGAGGTATGGAACAATGAGGCCAGATGCTGCTTGTTTGAGAGATTTTAGGTAAACCTTAAGTGTGAGGCAAGATGGGCCACTGATATGGAAAAGCCACTAGAAAAAGCTTAGGTGGGCCTGAAATTTTGGTGGTGCGTGGTCTTAGGGAATCACCAGGGTTGGGTGAATAGTGTGAGCCAAGTTGATGGAAACTCCTATAGGGCACCAACTGCTGGCTCTGTAGGGACATGTCTCATCAAAGGTACAATGCCTCTGCTGGCACTTTTGCCTGGCAGTAGGAACTCTAGCCTTGATTCCAGACAGTTCAGTTCTGCCTCATATGTTCTTGGTGCCTTTCAAATCACTGCCCCATCACTAGAGCTTATAGGGACTGAATCCAAATAAGTGTTTTTAGGCCCTTTAGGAAGAACGCCTAGGACTCCGAGGGCACTCCATCTTACTTGACCTCAATTTCTGCTGTGTTTTTTTTGTGTGTGTGTTTTTTTTGTTTTTTTGTTTTTTGTTTTGTTTTTTTACAGCCAGAAGTTATGGGAACTTTTTTTCTCCAGGACTAAAATCCGGGGCTTGGGAGCCTGGTGTGGAGCTAGGACCCTTCATTCCTCAGGGGCACCTCTGCAGCTGAGATCCTCTCCTGATTTTTATCTGCTACACATGAGCGTGGGTTCACCTGTTTTTCATCTCTGTTCCTCCTGTCATCTCAATGTGGCTTCTTTAATTCTTTAGTTGTAGGACTTTCTTTAGATTTCAGGTGGTTTATGATGATAGTTGTTCTGTAGTTTAGTTGTAATTTTGTTCTGTAGTTTAGTTGTTCTGTAGTTTAATTGTGGTTGTGGGAAGGTGTGAGTACCATATTGCTACCATCTTGACCAGAAATCTAAGTTTCACATTGAAAATTTACCATGTTATGGCAGTGATGAAGTTAACCAAAAGTGGGTAAAAAAATCAGAGTAATTTGTTGAATAAATGACTGTAACCATTAAAATACATAAGATCAGTTTTTCTTTTTTTAAAAGAAGGATATATATCAGATCATTAAGTAATATAGAATGGAATTTTTCAAATTGTTTACCATAACTTATTAATAGATCATGAAATCAATGAAAAGGGACAGATTGTGAATTTTTAAACAAAGAAGAAAAATAGCTTTGCAAACATCAAAAATATTACATATTGCACATAAAGAGGATAGTAATAACTTGTAAAATATTTGTTGCAATTTTATGCACTCAATTACAATGGAAAGTATATTTGTATGGCAGATACTTTTGAAAAAGTAGAAAAGCCAGAGATTTGCAGAAAGATTACTAATTGAGTGAAGAGATCTGTTGTTCATCTTCTAAACATCACGTGCTCTTGGGCAAATAGCAGGAACTGTGAAGCAATTGAACTCTGAGGAACTTTCCAGTTCATGATTAGAATAAACTTATTGCTTGGTTTAGGAAATGAAGGACATATTTAGTTCTATGAAGTGGTCATTTTTATGTGTCAAAAAACTTCAGAAATTACTATTTCTTTGCTAGGTCAAAATAGTAAGGTCAGAAGAGGAAATAATATAGTGAAAATCTGTACTTAAAATATATAGGTTGAGAAAATTAGATTAAAAAAACCAACTATGAGGGGATGACAATCTCCTGACCATTGGTAAATAATAACACCAAAAAACCTTAATAAACACAAAAATGAAGTGCTTCTACAGATAAGTGGTTGAGGTCTAATTTATATGTGGTTTTTATGAATCATATTTATAAAAATTGTATTAGTAGAACTATAAAATACTATCAGCATAAGTTATTATACTGATGCTATAAAATTGCTCTTGTTTTTCAACTTTTTAAATTATAAAACAAATTATAGTTTTTTTAGTATTTTTCTATAGTTATAATTTTAACCTGCTTTTATGTATGAATGATGGTTGAAGTGGTACAAGAGATCTAACAATACTTTTTAAATATTAATCTAAGCAAAGAAATTAAACCTGCCATGGTGTCTTCTTTTTTTGTTTTGTTTTAATGCTTTTTAGTGGATGTGAACTCCTAAAATGGCAACAGACTGCATTTTAAATAATTTTAAGCATGGCCACACTTCTACTACAATGTATGCATTTTTATTACTTGCTTTAAATCTAAATGCATTAAATCTCCTAAAAATTTTTAAGTTCTTCAAAGAAAAATATTTTGTAAAAAATGGAAAGTTAGTATAAACATTAATTTGTTGGACATTGCTGTACATGTGTTGGTGTTACTGTTGTATATAGTGTTTTGAATGCCTAGCTGCTTGAAATTGTCTTGGGGGAAAGGCTTACATCTCCTTAATGAGTTTAGAAAACTTAAAATACATTAAGAAGGAACTTTATATATTTTTTATCTTATTTTTTTTAGATTTTAAGTGACCTTTATTTTTGCTTTATTTTATTGAAAAATTTGAAAATATACAAGCCATATTTTAAAACTAGGAAAAACACAAATCATTCTTTCCACTTTTATTTATTTCATGTACAAGAATTCAAGTAAAAGGACTCTTTCTTTATTATATCACACACATAGTCTTGTTGATTCTTGTGGTTCAGCTCCACTGGAAGTTAGTATCCTTAGCTCCCCACAGTACAATACAGAATTTCCATTAATGAGTTCACCACCTTCTTGGTGCCCTCTTCACTCCTTCACCTGCCACAGAAGGACTCCTATCAGCTTGTATGCAGAGCAAAGGGGACTTGAGAAGCTATTGAATTTCTCTCCTTGGAGAGCTCTGTGCATGGCTTCTCTTGGCATGCCCAGTCCTGGGCTAGAATAGGTCCTCGGCTGCTGTATATTACCTTATTTGACTTGACTAAGCCTCTGTTGAATTTCTTATTGGTGTTTTCAGGCATATAGTCCTAATTCTGAGAAAACCAGTTGATGAAAGTTTGAGCATGTGAAACTATATATTAAAGTGGCTTTAAAATAGAGTGATCACTTAATAAAATTTTAAATTATATCATGTAGGAACTGAAGGAAGACTCCTTGTGTGGTTTCTACTACCATATTGAGGATTTATTTTTAGATATAAGTAAAGAGTGCTTTAAACTTGGAAGTTAGCTAGGGTTATATTTTTTCATTTTAGTCTTACTGGCCAACTTTTTCTTCTCATGAGAAGAAATGAAACAAAATTAGGGCCGAAAGGCTCCCTACTGGTTAGAGTTTTAATTCAGAAGTTCACTATGCTTTTCAAATACAAGTACTTTCTTGATTTAGTGACAAAGTACCCTCTTTTTTTCCTAGCCTTCTTACCATCAGATAAGTCACTGTGAGATAAATGGAATGAAAAGCTATTTTAGCCTTAGACAATTGACAAAGCCTTTTTAGAGTTATAAGGGACACTGAATAGTTTGGTGTATTTCAGTAGAAGAAGGCTTATCCAGTCTCTAATAAACATTTTCAATTGCTGGTGGAAAAATGCAGCTACACTTAGTTTGTTAAAGTTAAGGAAATTGTCATTTAACATGAACTTCTAATGAGGCATATGCAAAGCAGATTTGTTTCTTAAAATATGTTTCCACTTCTGATCATTTAATAAATATATACAGGGTCTGGCATAAATAATGTCCCTTTTTATCACAAAATATTTTACTACAATATCATAAGCATGTAATTCTGTAACATAACCATATCACACTCAAGAAACCCATATGGCATTTTAGGTGAAATATTCAAATTAAAAGTATAAATTATTAGACCCATATTATTACTGTACCAACCAACCACATTCAAGCAGGCATTATTTCTGCCAGATGCTGTATATATTAAGTTCAATATATTTTACTAAGATCATGTAAACTAAAAAATAGATGCAGTGCAATCCTTTTAAATTTGTCCTACATTCTTACTTTCTGCTGTATTTGAAACACCTCATGACTATAAATGGAAAATTCTTCTAGGTTTTCTAATAGCTTGGGTTAACTTTTAGCAAATAATTTGGCTTCATTCTCCTAAAATATTATTAACTCTCATAAAGTGTTAAATTTATTGATGTGTTTTCAGGTATTAAAATCAGTAGTCTATTCTGTAATTACAGATTATCATTCTCCTATATCAAAAATAAGTTTTAATATTTTTATATACTATAGCCTGAAAGGCTATCTGATATAGTTTAATTGTATTTACTTATATTCAATTTATTTAAAAATAGGTATCTAGCTTTTTAAAAAAAAGTATTGATACTTTCTGTACAGAAATATTTGCTTAATAATTCTAGAAAGTTTTGCTCTGTTGCATAAAATAATATTGCCAAATTTGGTTTTGTTTCACAATGACTCGGGATCAACATTCAAGAGGGACCTTATTTTTTTTTCTTAGAAGCATAAAAGCAACCCTATTAGAGAGTAGGTTAAAAGATTGGTACATTTGAAATGATCTTTAAAAATTTAGGCTTAAGTCTTCATTAATGTACATTTTCCAGTTCATTAATGCAGAAATACAGCACATAGATTTTAATCTTGGAGTTAATAATAAAAGCAATTTTCACTAAAAATATAAAAACTGTAATGGTAGAATCATGATATTGTATTTAGCTCTCCCCACAAAAAGTCACTTTATTACTTTTTTTGACACTTATTTTCATTCTGGGATTAATTTTACTATATAAGGGCTCCTTAACTATTCTATTAAAATTTCTATTCAGAAGCAATAATATCTAACAGTGAATAATAGTCATGTAAATCATTATTTCATATTAATGTAAAGGATTTTGTAAGTTCTTATGAATTCTGCTGACATGCACAATTGTGAAAAAGGTTATCTCTCCCTTCTACAGTGATATGCGCTGGAACAAAGGAACCATTCTAAAAGCATCAGTGGAGTACATCAAGTGGCTACAAAAAGAACAACAGAGAGCTCGAGAATTAGAACACAGACAGAAGAAATTAGAGCAGGCTAACAGGCGGCTTCTACTCCGGATTCAGGTTTTTATAAGAATGTTGCTGCAAACCACGTAGCTTAAATATGATTTACCTGTCATCAGTTTTATTCATTAGTCTCACTTATTTTTTCTTGTTAACAATTATTTTTCCTTCTGAATGATAAATTTGTTGCCTTTTAGGCATTTATGAATTGGGTTGCTTCAATTAAGTTTTCATTGGAAATCTAGGATCAAGATGACTTAAAAAATACATAATGAATGACAACTAATAGCAAAATGCAAAACATTGAATCAATTTTATAAACACACACGATAATATTTCAGACAAAAACTAATAAAGTAGAACATTTGTTTCTTTAGATAATATTGGACACTAAACTCTCCTTTACCCCTTTTATTTCTTTAGTAACATTGCTATGGATTTCATTGCCTCAAGGCATATTGTGCAAGTTTATATTAAGTCACTCCTCATCTGTTCATGTGACAAAAATATTAAAATATGGGCTTTCATAATAAGTCTTTTTTACATGAGTATGCTTATGGCCAAGTAAACCACTTACTTTGTTTCCATGAAATGGTAATATAGTGAGAAATTAATCTGGAAGAGTAAATGGAAGATTTTTTATTCTCTCCGAATAAGTGTATTAGAGTCTGAGTCACTATGGGACCGTAGTGTATTCCTTTAAAGGACAAGGATATGGACTTTACTTTTTTTTCATATTTTTCTAAATATTATTTTTTAGGCAATAGAAACATCAGATTCTCTTATTTGCAAGAATATTTATAATTTGTATTACTTTTCATTTCAAATACTTGAAAATATTTTGTTTTTATTTCTGATTTACTCTCTAGTGTTAAGTCCCCTTTCAAAATCATTATTTAATTATTCTTGTTTGAAATTGCAGGAACTAGAAATACAGGCTCGTGTTCATGGTCTGCCAACCCTGGTTTCACTGGACCGAGTTGATTTAGGTGCTCATGTCACCAAAGAACAGACCCATCTTGAACAGAATTCAGTAGACTATTGTCAACAACTGACTCTGTCTCAGGGAACAAGCCCCGAACTCTGTGATCAAGCTATGGCTTTCTCTGATCCTTTGTCACACTTCACAGATTTATCATTCAGTGCTGCTTTGAAAGAGGAACAAAGATTGGATGATATGCTACTGGATGATACAATATCTCATTTAGGAACAGATCCTCTGCTATCTGCCACTTCCTCTGCAGTTTCCAAAGAGAGCAGTAGGAGAAGCTGTTTTAGCTCAGATGATGGTGATGAATTATAAGAAGTAAACACAGTCCACTCATCAACTAGGAAACAATTGTATTCTGGTGCTATGCAATTATAGTCTGTGTTTCATGTGTTGCTTTGGCTTCATTTTTTGAAAAGAATATATTGTTCACGAAAAACTTGAGGATTAAAAACAACAGTAGAATAAATTCAAAGAAGAAGAAATATGGTATTGAGGAATTACTGAAGGCTAAAACATATTTTTCCTCTTTGACTATGGAACCTAAATCTACTCAAATTTTGTTTTCTAGAAAGAGGTGCAAAATAAGAAATAGCTCTTTACTGGATGTACTATTGTAACTAACAGACTGCAAAGGGTAAACCTCTGAAATATACAAACATTTTCTTAGTTACTCATTTCCAACTCCTTCCTATTCAACTCAAAACGGTTTGCAAGAATCTTGATCAATAGATTTGGAAGTTCATTTCCTTTCTCTACCACCTGGTTACCATGTTGTTTAAAGTTCCACCTTCTAAGAAAGTAATTACATAGATTATCTATCAGTTGTTCATAATTGAAGTGAATCCACAATAAACATTAAAATTTTTCAAAATAATACTAGTTCCTAAAATTCATATGAACTGGTTTCTAAAATTATATCTTAATTTTGCTAGTCTGTTTAATGACACACATTCTAAAAGTTTCTTTGCATATTTATGGAAATATGCCTTGTTCAGAATAACCTTTCTCAAGAATATGGATTAGAATTTTATGCCTTCACACAGATATACCCCCCCACACATGCATACAATGCAGGTAATGTGGTTTTTTTCTTTCACTCTTCTGATTTTTTATTTTTCATCAGAAATCACATTCTAAATTAACATTTTTAATCAAGAAGAGATTTTGGGGAATCAATTTCAGCAAATGAACTATTTTTTTAAAAAATCTTGCTACTATGACAATGTGTCAGCTATTTAAAACTTATCACTATGTCCACTATTGAATGTAAAATAATTAGTTGTCAATACAGTCTCACTTCAGATTGCCAAAATGTTGAGAATTGTATTGCCAAGTGACAAAATAATTTGTGAAACAGAAGCTCTTATTACATCCAGCTTTGAATTAAAGTTCTTTTCTCATAAGTACTTGAGGTACTCTACTGATTTTTATTGTTTATTAGTATTTATTAAGAATATTTATGTTTATAATGCTTTACTCAAATTTTTCTCTCTTGAACTTATTTTAGGAATGGGAAATTACTAACTAAGTATATTGCTCTGTACTAGACCTCCATGAATGGTAATCTGATCAATGTGTATTTATTGAGGGATACTCAAAACTGCATTGTCCTGTGACAATATACAACAGAGAAGCAAATGGTATGGTCTTTCTCTTCAGAGAGTTATTAAGAGGACATGAAAAGAGAATAAAAATTATAGACAATATAAGAATTAAAGCCTACATGGAGCACCATAGGGTACAGATACAGACAAAAAATAAAAATGAATAAAGTCTGGAGAATCACAAAAATCTATGTGAAGAACAGAATTTAAGTAATTTGGAAGCATAAATTGAGTGAAATGAAGGGAAGATAGAGCAAAAATATGAACTGAATGATAAAAATGAAAATAAGTTATATAAATATCTTAATGTAACATTGTTAGAAATAGAACATTCACCTGGAAACCCTAAAAGATGCCTGTTAGGGAGTTCTGAAAGGTAATATTGGCAACAGATTGTGAAAGCCCTTGAAAATTAGAATGAAAATGACAGTAGAAATAGATTTTTTTAATTAGGAAGAAGTCTAAAAAGTAAAATATTTCTGTATATTATTAATGTGATTGAAATACAATCTTTCATGCATATCAACTTGGTGATAAATTTTTCAGAGTGTTTAATGTTACATGGAAAATACACCATCACAAAGTTTGAGATAAATGCTGATGAAAGAAGAAAATATTACATTCTTATGGTATAATGATTATATCTGGCTTAGTTTACAACATTACCTCAGAGTTTAGATAATCAATTTTCATAATTTGACATGGAAAAATAATTCTTAATTTATAGGAGCCATCATTAAAGCCAGATAGAGAGATTATGGCATGTAAAATAGAGCAGTGAGATATACTTCCTCAAGAATTTTTAGGGGAAGTTTATATACTTTTAACTTTATGATAAAATCCCACTTTACTATTTGAGTTGATAATTTAACATTGTAAATCATAGAGAAACAATATGTTTCTCAGTCCATGGAAAACATATAATTCTGTATAGAATCTCATTTATGCTCTCATATTATCAATTATTTTCTTTTCGTTATAGTTTGAGAAGAAATACTGATGATATCATTCCTTCATCATGATTTTCTATTCAAGATACTACTACCCAGTCCTGACACCCAATTTTTATTATCATAGCTAATTGTAAGAACTTGACACAGGATATATTTTCAGTCTGGACAAAAGAGATCTGGAAAAAGAACAAATGTTTTTTGCTATTCTCAGATTATAATAACTATTAGAGGGTTGTAAAATGGATAATGGATTTTTGAAAGGCAAGAGTGGTACTGTGTAACAAATAGACCCTCTCCACAGAAAAACATAAAATTATATATACAGTCAAGAATTTGCATGCACCAGGAGGTTTTAAGAACCCCCTGAATGTCTCCTTGGATCCCAGGTGAAGAGTCTCTGCATAGTCTGATACTTTCATATATACCATTGTGGCTATATAATTGTAGCTATATTCATCAAGAGCTAAGTGCATAATTAATACTGTATATAATGATGGAGGATGGAGCCCTTGTTATTTGAATATCATTATCCCAACAGCAATAGTGATGAGGTTGCATAGGAAATTGAAAGTGTACCAAGCATTAGACAATCTACTGAGGGAGTTGTTCAATTATAAAATAGTCCCCTTTCAAACGCCCCATTATATATGTATGACTCCTGCTATATATTTGTTAAATATTTATTGGTCAGTTTCTCTATGGCTACTAAATGTTGTAAGCATCTGACAATAAAATTTTGAATGATACAAATAAATAACAGAGTAAAAACATATAAATCCAACAGCAAAATTATTTGAGTAAATAATCATGAGTGATCCTTGGGAAAATTCATTGTCTAGAATATTTTTGCAGAAATTAGACATATTAACAAGGAGAGAGTTATACTGTTTATCAAACAATTTTGTCAAGAAAAAGCATTAACTATTGCTGGATTATTGACATACAATTAACCAAGCCTGTTCATTCAAATAATTAATGCATAATTGCAATGATAATAAAAACTTAGTGAAAAATAAGATTAATTTTGTTTTCATTATTTTTAGGTACATTTTTAAGGCAATGTCACATCCAATCTAGTCTCTGTATTTATTATAAAACATTGACCATCTTTACACTAAGCAACTATTCCATTTCCCAGTGATCTTAACAAGGGCCTCCTATGATTTGAAATAGATCTTCATAATTTCTCTTTAATTCTTTCTTTTTGTACTTTTCCCATAACTGAAGAATATATAAACAGAACACATTTCTTTAATATAAAGATGTGATATCAGTGACTATAACTTTGTTTATGTGGGCACAGAAGCTCTAAATAATAAATAATGAGATGAGCTGTGGACATTGGGTAAATACTCTTCCTGGTTCTTCTTTAATTCATATTTTCTCTCACATAACTATAAATAAAATGTTTAATAGCTCTTAAAAATTAGACACAATGAGCTTCTTTATTTGCTTTACTCATTTACCTTTATGTCAGATGAATAGTTAGATTTTACAATGTAAAAAATAATATATTTTTTTCTGTTTTGATAGATTGAATATATTGTCATTTTCTTGTACTTCAAAATATTATGAAAATTATTTTTGCTGTAGATATTGTGAAATTTGGATATTTAAATAAATGGTTGACTAATGTTTTCAATGTTTTTAGAATATCTCTAGGCTATTTAATGACCTTAAAATATCAAAGATATAGATGAAAACTGGAATCAATTTATCATTTTGCTGTGTTATCAGCACTAGATCAGCTATCTGTGTTTCTTGAAAACACCTGAAAGATTGAATTTTGAGGTACCTTCAATATTGAGGGTACAGCCTAGCTGTGCTACATGAAATTACACCATTTGCCCCTCCAGGGCCCTGCATGCTGACAAGTATAATGTCAATCTGAGTTAGTGCAAGTTAAACATAAAGACATTTTATTATATGTAATGAGTAAACACTAAACACATTTAGAGTGTTGCTGATCTAATGCATCATGTAACCTTTCTATAATCATTATTCATTGCTTGTAGCAATATTTCATAATCCTATAATTTTAATTTTTAACAAAAACAATTTAAAAATTATATAGTTTTGTTCTTCTACTTTTTTCTTCTCTGAAGTTCATAAAGAATTAATGTGGACTTCTGCCAAGATGGAAGTATAGGTGGAGACACCATGGTTTCTCACACAACCAAGTTTAGAGGCAACAAAATATTGGCAACAGAAAACACAGCCAGAACACAGAAAATTGAACTTTTTGGAAGTTTGATAACAACAAATTCTTCAGCCTGACCTGTAAGAGGGGCGAAACCAGCAGTTAGCGAAGCAGGGTTGCACAGGAAAACTCGGTCAGATGGACTCAGGTGCGCAGATCCCAGGCATGGGGTTGCAAAGGGCCGACCCAGTGAGCGACTGGAGGATCCAGCGAGGGTGAAGGGCAGCGGGTTGACTGTGCTGGCACATTCCTGCACAGATAGACCAGCGAGGGAGTGGGCAGTGAGATGGGACCTAGTGGGCCCCAGCACCGGGAGGCTGCAGAGAGGACTGCCATTTCCCGGCTCTGACCCCGCCCCCACAAACAGCATGGAAACCCAGCGACCCCACCCTGGAGGCCCCACCCCGCCCCTAAGGCTCCCCTCCTCATACTTAATGGGTGGGAACAGACCAAAAATGGCTCAAGAAGATCTCAAAGCCCCAGAGCCCATAAATTTAAGTGATGAAGAAATAGCAAAACTTTCAAATGCACAGTTCAAAACACTGGTGATCAGGATCCTCACAGAACTGGTTGATTTTAGTCACAAATTAGAGGAACATATGAAGGCTAAATTAATTGAAATGAATGGCAATGCACAGGAAACCAATAGTAATGGAAAGGAAACTGGGACTCAAATCAATGGAGTGCACCAGAAGGAGGATAAAAATGACCAAACAGAATAGGATGAAGAAACAAGAATTCAAAAAAATGAGGAGAGGCTTAGGAACCTCCAGGACATCTTTAAGTGCTCCAAAATCCGAATTATAGGGGTACCAGAAGGGGAAGAGGAACAGCCATAAGTGGAAAACTTATTTGAATAAATAATTAAGGAGAATTTCCCCAATATGGCAAAGGCAATAGACTTCCAGGAAATCCAGGAAGCTCAGAGAATCCCAAAGAAGTTGGACTCAAGAAGAAACACACCAAGGCACAGCATAATTACATTAGCCAAGATTCAAATGAAGGAGAGAATCCTAGAAGCAGCAAGAGCTAAGGGGATAGTCACCTACAAAGGAGTTCCCATCAGACTGTCAGCTGCTTTCTCAAAAGAGACCTTCCAGGCAAGAAGGGGCTGGAAAGAGGTATTCCAAGTCATGAAATCCAAAGACCTACATCCAAGGTTGCTTTATCCAGCAAAGCTTTCATTTAGAATGGAAGGACAGATAAAGTGCTTCTCAGATAAGATCAAATTCAAGGAGTTCATCATCACCAAGCCCTTATTATATGAAATGGTAAAGGGACTTACCTAAGAAAAAGAAGATAGAAAAGGTGAACAGTGAAAGGACAGCAAACTCACAGTTATTAAAAACCACACCTAAAACAAAAGCAAATTAAGAGGACAGCTAGATCAGGAGTGAACCATAGAAGTGAAGATCACATGGAGGGTTAGCAACAAGGGAGTGGGAGAAGGAGCAGGGGGGAGAAGGTACAGAAAATAAGTATCATAGACAGTAGATAGAAAATAAATAGGGGGAGGGCAAGAATAGTATGGGGAATATGGAATCCAAAGAACTTGAGTCACATGGTCATAAATTAAAGGGGGGAATGGTAGGGGTGGGGGAGTGCAGGGTGGAGGGGAATGAAGGGGGGAATAGAACAACTGTAATGGC